GGGTGCTGGGGACACAGCAGTGATGAAAACAGACAAAAATCCGTGCTGTCTTCAAGCTTACATTGTAGGGGGAGGAGAGAAATAATAGAGTAAAATACCATGTGGGGTGGTGATATGTACTATGGAGAAAAAAGGAAGGAAGGAGACAGGAAGTGCTGGGAGGGGGTGGGCTGGTGCCGTGGCTCAGATGGCAGTGTCCAGTGCGGGTGTTAGGGAAGGCCTCATCACTTTGACATTGAGCCCTGTGCTGTGATAGTTCAGAGGAGGAGGGCTTAATTGGGAGCCCAGGCTTTGTGTGGTCCTGCCCTAAACGGGGATAAGGGGCATGATGACATCAGTCAGATGGTCTCAAGGCAGCTATTTTGGGGAAGAGTTTCTTTTCTGGAATGCCCACGTCCATGGAGTCCTGTCCATTATTCCTGCTGATCGGGGTATGGTGTCAGAGCCGTTGTATCCAGAGCACTGAGGGCCTTGGGGCTTTATGGGAAGCCTAGAAGCTAGGAGAAAGGTGGTCTCACCAGCTGGTTTCCATTTCAGTCCAGAATGCAGGAACTTTCGCTGGGCTGCAGAGCTCCCTGTTTTCCTTAAGCACACGGCCCGCCTGTTACGGCGCCTCACTCCTGCTTTCCCTCCACAGCCTCGGTGGCTTGGGCCGCAATATCATTCTCACCACCATGCCAGCGGGTACTAAGCTCATTGCTGGCAATAAGCCTGTGAGTTTCCTCACTGCCCAGCAGTTGCAGCAGCTTCAGCAACAAGGTCAGGCCACACAGGTAAGGGCCAAGGCGAACTGCTGGCCGTATCGGGCTTGTCTCCCCTTTGCTGTTCGTTCGAGACTGCAGAGCTCATTTGCCACCTCCTGACCAGACCCTCTCTCTTTGCACACAGGTGCGCATCCAGACTGTGCCTGCATCCCATCTTCAACAGGGGACAGCTTCGGGTTCCTCCAAAGCAGTCTCCACTGTCGTTGTGACCACAGCTCCATCTCCTAAACAGGCACCTGAACAGCAGTGATTCGGGGCGAGAGAAGCGGCGTCTGTGCACGCGTGCACCTGGTCTGCCCTCCTGGCCGAGATGAGGGGAGCAGAGAGGGGGCATTGTTCTTCTCAGCTTGTCTGGTTAGGGAAGGCCGGCAGTGGGATGATGGCATCAGTGGCCTGGAATCTCCTTCCACACTCCACGGCGGAGCACACCGAGAAAAGTCCCCTCCAGGCTTCCAAGGGCTGTTCTGTTCCGATCCGGGAGAAGCTCCTCTCTCAGGGTTGGGTGAGGTCATCGTTGGGCCCCACGAGCCCCAGTTCTCTTCTGGAGAGCCAGACACCGGGGGAAGGCTCACAGCCGCAGAGCGTGCACACCGGCAGGAAGCCTCATTCTCTGTGGGGATTGGGTTTTTTAGCTTCTGCTCTTCTCTGTGACTAGTGGTCTAGATAGGAGTTTTTGTGTCCAGAAATTTTTATGTAACTTATTTTTTTAAGGAACCTGTTGTACATCTTTATCCAATAGAAACCTGGGCTTTAGCCCTCTCCGCCTCACCCCGCCCCCCAAACTGATTACTTATTCTTTTGACCAGAATGAGAGAATAGCAGGATTCTTAGTAAGTTGGTGGCTGACTTGATCACTACATAGTAATGGGGAGGCTGTAAGGTGGGCAGGGAACCCTAGGGAACGAGAGAGTACGGGTTCCCTGAAATGGGATGAGTTTGGCACCGCCTCATAAAGATGAGGTATTGGGATCTTGATTGTGGTCCATATCTTCACCTGCTGACTTTGTTGTCCTTGTCAAGCCTGTTTACACCAAAGTCCAGAGCCAGTGGACAGAGTAGGCAAGCACCAGCAGAGATGCTGCTTTTGCAGCTCAGAACTTATTGCGGTTCAGAGATTATATGTTCTGCTTTGCTCCAGAGCAAGAGTCTGCAAACCACAGCCCTGGGGCTGGCTACCAGTTTTTGTAAATAAAGTCTTCTTGGAACACAGCCCCTGGCCATTTGTCTATGTATTATTCATGGCTGCTTTCAATTAGAAGGCAGACCTGAGTCATTGCCATAGAGTCTATATGGCCCTTAGGCCTAAAATATTTACGTCCTTAGGCCCTTTAGGTAAAACTTTGCTGACTTCTGCTCCAGAGCAGAGAGGGCAAGAAGAGAGTGGGTGTGCGCACCAGGCCTCTCGGTCACAGGAGAGGTCAGTCGGGATTTACCTGTCCTTTCATCCTGGCAGTGTCCCCCCTTCTCAGCCTCTACCAAGCTCTAGGCAGAGCTCTGAACGATACTGGAAAATGTCGTAAGTGAGTAAAGCCCTGGTTGTTAACAACATAGGCCTCTTTTGTACGGGAGCAGGGGTTGGATGGTGGAGCTTTCCTGCAGGGTCAGAGCTTCCCTGTTTCTCTTGAGAGTGTCCAGATTATTAAAAATGTGTCTTTAATCTGTGGAAATTCAGAGATGATCTTTTATTTTTTTTTCTGGCGAGGAAGCGGAGTTGGGCAGAAAATTTCCATCGCCTAGTGTAGAGGGGGTTGCTAGGTGGCTGCTGAGTGGTGAGACAGGCTGCAGAGGAGCAGGGAAGGTCAGAGTGGCTGGTGGCTTTCTAGACATCGCATTTGATTCTTGAAGCAGTTCTGTAAAATAGACCGCATTATCCCTCTTCTGACTTCTCATCCCTGTGACAGATTGCAGGTCTGAGTTGGGGTTAAAGAGAAGCAAGATGTAAATCCAGTCTTCTGATCCTTTCTGCTGCCTTCCTAGGGGAGGGTGGCTGTGATGTGTCATGCCAAGAGGTGGGGACAGTTGGAATTGGGGGGGGGGTAAGCCCAGGTTACAGAGCGCCGAGGTGAACTGGCTGAGGGGTGACTGAGCTTTTGCTGGTAGTAGGGGGCTGGCATAGAAGTCAGACGGGGAAGGGGGAGAGGTAGGAACTGCCGTGACGGAGAAGAATGGCCTTTTAGCTGAGTAGAGGAGAGAGCATCTGTCCTTTCCAGTACTTTGATATTTGCACATCATTGCTTCCTAGAGTCACATTTCACATGAAGAGTCCGAGTGACAGTTTCTAAATGAGAAAACGGTAGACATTTGAGGGATCCTGTCTCAGGTATTTATTGCTGGTTAAAACAAACCCTTCTCGAAGTTACTTAACAAGTGATTGCATGAAAGTAGTTCTGACATTCAGCCCTGCCCCACTCTTTTATTTACTGAAGTCACCTGGCTGTGTTTGTCTCCTTAGTGCCTGGAGACATTTACCTGCCCGCTCAGAGAACAGGGATATTTCAGGATGCTAGTGTGGGACTGGCTCCCTGCTGAGTATGATTTGGTACCGCCCAGCCTGTCGGTGGAGTGCTGAGGAAGGGCAGCCGCTGCTGGAGCTGTTCAAGAGATGTCAGCAACATTTGCTTCAGACATGGTCCTCGGATACAGACCTCAAGGGTCTTGTAGAGATGTGGGACCTATGGCGGATGTTTTGGGGGAACATGCCCAGAAGAACTTGTGGGAGCCCTTGAGCCTCTGCACCTAAGGTTCAGAGGTTGGTAAAATTATTCAGACCATGTGCCTAAGACTGGATTTGGTGACTAGCACAGTGATGGGTTTGTACATTAATACCACATCTAAGAAGGTTTTTCTCCAGGATTGATCAGTTCCATGAAGGTATCCCAAACTGTGCTACAAAAGGGGCATCACAATAAGTTTCAGTGTTGCCTATCTCATCTTCACACCTCAACCCCTCACTCTGCAGAAAATACATTTCCTTGCTGTGTGCTGCACTACCCTACCCCGTCCACCCGCAGCGATCTTTACGACGAAAGGAACATTGTGAATAGGTTCCTTACCCCCCACCTCCAGTCTCTTCGGGGAAAGAACGTGTTTTATGTTAATTGCCCATAATGGGTCCTCCAGTACTTAACTGAATGGACGTTTGGGTTCCTACTTAGCAGGGAAACGAAATTGGATCCTGAAAGGGCCCCACAGGTTCTCTTCTCATAATTAAATCCCATTTTCAAGTAGCTAATTCTTAACCCCTGAGGTACGACTTCAGCACTGAAATGCTAGCTAACTGTGGGAGGTCAGTTCTCACGTAAGTACGGCATTTCTGTCGAAGAGCACATGGTGCTGAGTGTCGAAGATCTCTGCCGTATCTGTGTGAAGTAGCTGGGGGGGGGGCTCTATCGAGAAGTAAGCTGGCTTTGGAGTCCTGAAGGCTGGCTTTGCGACTTCGTAGCTCTGTGACCTTTCGCTCATCAACTTCTCTGCAGAACTGAATGCGCTTCCATTATGGGTGGTGGTGCGAATCATGGAGACAGTGCCTGTCAGTGTGTGTGGGGCGCTGTACACATGAATGGTATGTTGGTCTGGAAGACCTTTCCAGTTTGTCCTAGCCCACTTCTGTCAGTTTGTGGAACTTAACTCTCCGTGTTCCTTCATGATTTCATGGTCTCTGTGCTTCCTGTTCTCTATGCCCGGAACGTGTTTCTCCAGGGCAGACTCCCCATCTCCTCCCCTCCCTCGCATTCATGGTAGTTGTACTTACCCCTTATGGCACCAGTCACCCTGTAGGTAACTGCATCTCTCTCCCGTTAGACTGTGAATTCCTGGCTGGACAGGTATCTCAGTAATCCTTCCAACCATTTCAGTGCCGGTGCAATGTAGATGTTTAATAAATATTTGTTGAAGGAAGTTTAAAAAAGAAAACGAAAAACATCCAGAACCAAGATTACAGTGTCAAGACTTTATATTACTATTTCAAGATCCCTTTGCAGGATTCTTACCCTTTGCCTTCAGCTGTATTTAAATTCAGAGTCTTCAGTAACCTGCCATTTTTCTCTCTACCTCATTATACAGACTTCCTGTTAGCATCTTCCCTTGAGGGTACTTTTGAGGACCCAGAACATCAGCGTTCCAGCTCTCAGCTGGGCCACTAACTAGCTTCCTGGTTTAAAAAAAAAAATGTCACCTTTGACCTAATGTCATCACTTATGAGTAGTATTGCAGTACTTTGGAATATTAATGGTTAATTAGGGAATGTTTAACAAGTAATATTTAAAGTACCAAAGCTTGTAAATTGTTTTACTTAAAAAAAAATGTGCTAGAATTGTATCTTTAAAATAAAGGAAGTCTCACTTAATTTCTCATAAGAAACAACCTGTTTTCTTCAGAAAAAAATGGATAAGTTATCAAAAGCAGTATTTTCTGCTGGATTCATATCCTGGATTCATCCATGAGGCCCTATCTTGTTCTGAAACTTTCAGAGTCTTTGATTTCTCTTCATACTGGGACACAAAGGCTTCATTTTTCTTTATGGAGGATACCATAGCAACAGAGACTTTAGTCAGTTAAATGAGAAGGTGCAAATATATAGAACCTTAAAAGCAGACTGGAGCAAGCACTGAAATGGAGATGAGCTACCCCTTTGCACACTCTAGCTGTTCATACTCAAAGGGCCATGTTCACCCCACATTGATGACGGGTGGCCTCCCTCATTCCTCATCTGAGCCACTCAGGAGGGCCGTCTGGTAAGTGTGATCTGACTTCAGCTTCTGAATGCCAATGATTTCTCCTCCGTGCCTCTTTAACCGAGTCAAATGGCTGTAATAGAGCAACAATAAGAGCGCATGAAATTAGCCCCCAAATGCCCTTATTCTCTCAACCAAGGATGTTAAGGCATGCACTGGTTCTTAAAGCATTTTCTTTATATGTCTATCAAACATACAAAGAAACCACAACGTGGTTGTCCACATATCTTGCTTCTTGGACACTATTCATTGATAGATGATTAATAATATTTAATGGTTAATGTCATAACAGACTAAACATAGGTCTTCTGTCTCCCAGCTTATTGTTTCACTGACCAGGCAGTAGAACTAAAGGAAACTGTGACCTTAAGTTCCCTTCTGTTTGGTCTGCATGGAACTTGTGTGTGTGTGTAGAGTAGATCTGCTTTGGGGAGGGAAATCAGAAACTAGGAAAACGAGGGGCAGCTACAACAGAACTAATTATTAGCATATCCAAAAAGTCACTCGCACTGCAGTTCAAGGCCAGGTCTGCTGTTGACTCATAGGGTGACCTCGATCAAGTTACTCAGTCTTTGAAGCCTTGGTTTTCCGGTCTGTAAAACGTTACAGCACATACTTCATAAAATAATGAGGATTCAGTGGGGTAATAGACGTGAGGTTCTTAACCGCAGGGCCTGGGACAGTGAATGCCTGGGAATGGTCAGCTATTCTAGTAACTGCTGACCAAGCACTTGAAAGAGCACTTGCTGTTTCAGCATCATGTCTGATTGCCACATCTCTGGGAAGGAGGTGGGGCAAATCCAGGAATAAGGTGATGGGCTCAAAACGATGGACAGAGCGGGGTCTGTAGTCCAGCACTGATGCCTAATTCAGAGATTTTCCTTTCACAGTGCAGGCTTCAAGTCCATCAGAACTGCCTTTGAAACCTGGGTCTGTCAGGTGACAAGTGACCAGACAGTCCTTTAACTTCTCAGAATCTCATCACCCTCATTTGCAGAACTGGGCGTATAGTTGGCACTCAAAAAGTGGTAGAAGTTAGCACTCTTTAGTTATGAAAGGTGGGTCACTGGAAGTAAAAATGTAGTGTAGTAGATTTTGGGGACCGAGGGGTTGTTAGGAAAAACCAGACAGAAGTTGTCTTCCCTTGGACATACCAGAAAACGAGCGAGTAGCTGATGGCCACAATGCAGAGGGCAGCCAAGTAGTGCCAGCAGAAGCACATGGTGACGAACATGAGGTTTGCGTCATCTTTCTGGTCCCATTCGGGTCCTCCAAAAGGTGGGAACAGCACAAACCCGATCTGGTGGGTTATACAGAGAAGCCAGCCTTAGTTGGTCCTGAGCAGCAAGCTCGCCTCTCCCCGCAACTGCCCCTGCTGTCTGTACATCCCCCACTGCCTCCTCCTGTCATACCTCTGGGAGCACAGAAAGGCCTTTTGCATAGGAGAATGGCTCTAATTCTGGCTTTAGTATGGGCTTAAAACCACATTTCGGGCCTATAAACAAATGGTATCCATGCCTCCACTAGGCAGGGCACGTGGGCTCACTGTGTATGCTGCATGGGATCCGCCTGTCAGTTCGTCAGCAAGGTACTACTGGACGAAATGACCTAAGTCGGGGGCTAGGCACGGGAAGACCAGTGGCCCTCCACAGCCCTTCCCGTGGTGTACGTCAGTGCTGGCCCTGCAGGACCTGCCTTGCACGAGCTCCATGGGGCTCCTTGAATCCACACAAGGTGAAGAGCACCCTTTTGAATAATTACCTGCCAGAACCAGGTGCCCTGAAGGATAACGAGACTGGTTCGGAAGAGTTGCAGCACAATATTGTCCCGGAGGACCACCTCTACGAAGATGCTGAAAGCCCCTCCGAACACAGCGCACAGCAGGAGCGAGTGGATGTGCTGGTCCAAGGGTGGTCGGTTGTGGACGTGGTAGTAGAAGAGAAAACCTGCACAAAGCAATTTTGGCCATCACGGGTTCGCTGCCTTCTGCTTCAGAGGCTTCATCTGCACTGTTACCATTCCTAGAATGCCCTCCTACGCCTGTCTCAAAGCTAGATTTTTCAGCAGTTAGGAAGTCAGTTTATATAACGTTACAGGGCAACAGACCCAGATTAGATTTCGTGTATGTATGAAGTGGATATATGCTGCAAAGGATGGATCTTTTAAAATCTTTTTACTCAATACAGGATGCGTAGGTGAAACACGCTGATTTGTGACAAATTTGTGTGTGTACTTGAAATTCAGTTTTGCCCTCATTTAACTCCCCCCCCCACCCCCAGCTCTTCCTGAGGTACAGAAGTAAGTGAGGTTGTTGGATTACAAAATGCTTTTTCCTTACCCCGGTTAATAAGAGTTGTATTGGGAAATCTGTCCTAGCTGCTTGGGTGGGTCTCCTGAGGTTTGTCATGGAGTCCAGACAGGAACATTCCAGGGTGGGAGGTGGAGTGCAGTTTCTCTTCCCTGAACAGAGGGAGTTATCCTTGTATGTGGTGGCATCCAGCCAGGTTTTGGAGAGTTACTGTGTGTTTCAGCGTGGAAGTGCACACATGCTGTCATACACATGGGCGTGATGGGGGAGGGGGCAGGGAGAGTTTGTGCACCGAGACTTTGGCTGAAAACCTTATGTTTTCATGGGCTCTTTTATGGACTATGTCCCCTGGATCCTCCAGAGCACAGGACCAAGTCCTATTCAGGTGTCTGAAATTCAGAGACTCGGATTTTCTGGGTAAAGTTACTGTATTGGCAGTATTTCTGGTTTCCCTATCCTGATCCATCATAAACACAGTTTGTCAGTCTCTTGCATTGTTTTCTCCATCCGTACCACTAAGTTACCTTCAGTGAATGCTGCCACAGCCATAACCAGTCTGTCCAGCCCCAGGGGAACGTGGCTGACGAGATAGGTGAGCATATCGGTGATTCCCGAGACTGCGAAGAACAAATACATGGTACTGTGCTGCCAGTTCATTAACTTGCACCACTCGTTCTCGTGGTACAGGTGGAGGTGGGGCCCGTCTGGAACAAACTGCTCGGCCAGGATCCCTGCAGGCGTGAGAGTGGAAATTGAAGTCAGGAAGGAAGTTGAGACATGGGTGAAAATGGCCTCCAGGTCAGTGCACCTGCTTTGCTCCCTCAGATGCAGCTACTTCAGTGTAAGATGCATTTGCCGACGAACCTGTGTACACATCTTACCTCTGCTGTTCCTTTGGGGGTCAGGGTGTGGAGAGAAGAAGTGATAGAAACAGCCACACAGGTCCCCGGGATGTTTGTCTAGTGGCTGAGCTGAAAGCAAGGCATAATCACTTAAATGAGAATGTGGTTGATATATTAATCTTTGGGCTAAGTGAGCAGTGAGAGAAATCCTGGAACGAAACCATTAGGTTGAAAATAATGGGATCTGAGCAGAGACACATGGGTGGGGAAGATAGTGGTGCACACCTGAGGGGGGAGCAGTAGCTCCCGGGTGTGTTTTCGTCAGGGCAGACTTCAAGTGAGTGGTTTTCCTGAGCACAGAGTATGCTCTGTGAGCCGTGAGTCCTTCCCATAGCTTTAGGTCTCTGTACCCTAAATACTGGGAGAACCAGGTGAAGGCCTGTCACCGCGGTGTTTCTGGCCATACTGTGTCTTATGAGAGGCAAGCCTTTGAGGCAGTGGCTCGTAGTTCTTAGCCCTTCTACTTCATGATCTGTTTTGGAAGGCAAAAGATTGGCCTTTATGCCTGGTGCCCAAAATGTTCTTGCGGCCTAGAATGACAACATTCTGGACCCTGTTCCCCAAACATTTTTTTCTTAAACCCAGCCCCTTCCTGAATTTATATGTGAGGGATCAAGGAATTGGTGGAAAGGACCCGGGAGAAGAAATCCCACTGACACTAGAATGGGAGCTTTGTGAGGGCAGGCACTCTGCTTAGTTCCCCACTGTATCCCTGAGACCTGGAATAGTGAGTTCCTGCTGGGTAGGAGCTCAGGAGATCTTGTGGAATGAGCAGTAGCTTCACCCAGCAAAGAGGCCAAATACTTTCCCAGCTCTGTTTTTCTGGGCAACACTGATGCTGTCCTTAGCATTTAAACTGTATAGTTCCCATTACCTCAACTCCAGAAAGACGAGATGCCCAACTGACTGGTGGATGGGAAGAGTGAGCGGGGCTGGGCAAACAAAGCTAGGTGCCTCTGCTCACTCCAAGAGGGGCCACTGGTGTTGCTTCGGTTCCTTCTGAGACGCTGTGGGCCTAAGGTGAGAAGTGGCAAAACGCAATTGCAGAAAAAAGTCCCTTGTTACCCCCATGCTGGGCGGATCCTGAGGAAGAACACTCTCTACTGTTGGCGAGGTGGGCCCCTTCTCATGTGGCCACTAGGGGAGTGGATGACGAGTCACAGTGGAAGTGCATGGGTTTTGTTGGAACAGGGCACAGTAAAGGAAAATCCCTTTCCAACAGCCCTCTGCTGGCTTTCTTCAGTTTCTTCCACTGCCTCTCTTACTAGCCCTCTAGCATAAAGTCCCTGTCTTTGTAATTGCTTGAGATGTGGGGATGGAGGATATGCCAAGGAATTAGGTGGTAGCTACTCTTGAGATTCTAGTGGAGAGAGAAGTGGAAAAAAAAGATGATTTTTCTAAACTAAACTGCATTTAGTACTTTCCTAATTCGTGTACATGAGCTTACTCTATTATTTTTTCTATTCTTATGTTTCATCTTTTTCATCAAGTATATTTTCTATTCCTACAACTTATACCTATGTCCTTCCAGGGCGAAGAATATAGTTTATTTGGTAGTTTTTCTTTTTTTTTTTTTTTTTTAAAGATTTTATCTATTTATTTGAGAGAGAGAGAGAATGAGAGATAGAAAGCACAAGAGGGAAGAGGGTCAGAGGGTCAGAGGGAGAAGCAGACTCCCCGCCGAGCAGGAAGCCCGATGTGGGACTCGATCCCGGGACTTCAGGATCATGACCTGAGCTGAAGGCAGTTGCTTAACCAACTGAGCCACCCAGGCGCCCAGTTTATTTGGTAGTTTTTCATGGTGCACTATTATTAACTGTTAACAGTAACAAAGCTCAGTACACAATGGATACTATAAAATATGTAGTGGCCCACTGAAAATCCTTGTCTCACTATCTGCCAGTGGAAACATCCATTTCACAGGGTCCAGAAAATGGGTTAAGGTTTCTGGGTGTGGTGGGGAGATCCCCTGGACCAGATGACCCCCTTCTTACCAGTGACTGAAAACAGGGTTCTGACTGCGGCTTCAATGATCTCGAGTCGCTGATGGTAATGAGTCAGTCGGCTGCTTTTCCCCTTCTGGTGAAAGTACATCAGTGGGTACTTCACTGACCACCACAGTCCGACTATCAAGAAGAAGCTCCCTGGGAGAGCATGGCCCTTAAAGTTTGCCATCGGTGTTCTTCAGCACCTAAGAAAATAGGAGACAGTTGTCAGGTGGCTGAATGAAGAAAACATAAATGGATATTTTGGCAGGAAACACAACATGTGACTGAGGATTCCAAATCATAAGCCGTATGAAGAAGGACCCACTTTTTCTCAGGGGCGCTCACTCAGCAGACAAGACTTCAAGGACATAACATGAAGGCTTATTTTATGAGAACGACTACTCCAACCCTGGCCGTCAGGACTTCCACCCCCTCTCACTGGCTACATGGGCTGCTTCACGTCTGATGCATGTACAGTTGAGCTTTCCACCCTTCCTCGAGAACTTCCACATGTTTTAAAAAACAAGTCAAATCGTATTTAAAAGGCTTCTACTGAAAAGCAGCAGTCACGTGCTCCATCCCTCCTCACCCACTAGTGAAACCACTTTAATCCCTTTCCACTGTTTCTTCTGGTATTTGCCGCCTGGATTCTCGTTAATTTGTGCCGTCTGGATGCTCGTTAATTTGTGCAGGCGGCCATTTGCTCATTTATCTTTGTCAGGAATTATCTACCAGCTTCCTGGAGCTCTCCTCCTCCTCAACCCTTCACGTTCACTGTAGTCACATGATGTTCATTTGCTTCAGTCATTAGTTGCATTATTATGGCTCTGTAGATCCAAAGTCCTTACCAGGGCCCATAAGCCCTAGTGATCCCAGCTATCTCTTTGACCTCTCCGACCTACCCCTCCAGCCCTGCCACACGGGGTCCCTTCCCTGGCCTTCCATTTCTAAGCACAGATCATTCCGGCTTCAGGGCTTGGGCTGTCTGTTACTTCCAGCAGCTTCCTGAACCAGAGCCAACAGGTCTCTTCTTCACTTTACTCAGGTTGCTGTTCAAATGTTACTCTAGTCCTGGACTACTTTGTGTGAGGTAGCAGGCATGTCCCACTTTTCAATCCAGGTATATATTTTTTTTTAAGAATTCATTCATTGTATGATGAATGAATTCTTAAAAAATTCTTATTCACAGCTGATCACTACCTACCAAATAGTATCCAGGTCTATCTAAATTTTCTTTAAAGCATGGATCGCTATCTGATATTCCATATTGATTTTTTTTTTAAGCATCCAGCCCTACCCACTGGAATGTAGTCCCTGAAAGTAGGGATTTGATCTGTTTTGTTTTTGTTTTTAAAGATTTTATTTCTTTATTCGACAGAGAGACACAGCGAGAGAGGGAACACAAGCAGGGGGAGTGGGAGAGGGAGAAGCAGGCTTCCTGCTGAGCAGAGAGCCCGATGTGGGGCTCGATCCCAGGACCCTGGGATCATGACCTGAGTCGAAGGCAGCCGATTAACAACTGAGCTACCCAGGCGCCCCTTGATCTGTTTTGTTATTGCAGTTAGCCCCGCACTTACAGTTGGGTCTGACAGAGTAAGCAATCAAATATTTGTGGAACAAATACACGCTCATCCAAGTAGTATATTATGGGTTATGTTTTCACCATTTTTGTTTTTTTTTTAGAGCTGTTTTAGGTTTACAACAAAATTGAGAGTAAGGTAGGGAGATTTTTTTCACATACCCCTTGCCTGCACACATGCGTAGTCTTCCCCCATTATTGATATCACTCACCAGACTGGTGCTTTTTTTTTTTTAAACCAAGGATGAATCCACATTGACACATCATAATCACCCCAAGTCCATAGTTTACCTTAGGGTTCATTTTTTTTTTTTTTTAAGATTTTATTTGAGAGCAAGCATTGGGTGGGGGGTGGGAAGGGCAGAGGGAGAGGGAAAAGCAGGCTCCCCGCTGAGCAGGGAGCCTAATGTGGGGCTCGATACCAGGACCCCAGGATCATGACCTGAGCTGAAGGCAGACGCTTAACCGACTGAGCCACCCAGGCGCCCCTAGGGGTCACTCTTGATGTGCATTCTATGGGTTTGGACAAAATTATAATGACATGTATCCATCATTATAAATATCACAGTATTTTCACTGCCCTAAAAATTCTCTGTGCTCTGCCTGTTCATCTCTCCCCCTCCCCCACCCGACACCACCCCTTTTTACTGTCTCCATAGTTTTGCTTTTTCTAGAATGTCAAATGTTGGGATCATAAAGTGTGTAGCCTCTTCAGATTGGCTTCTCATTTAGTAATATGCACTTTAGTTTCCTCTGTGTCTTTTCATGGCTTGATAGCTCATTTCTTTTTAGCCCAGTATAGTTAACGTATGTGTTATATTAGTTTTAGGTGTACAATATAGTGATGCAACAAAAAAATATGGAACACTTCACAAATTTGCGTGTCATGCTTGTGCAGGAGCCATGCTAATCTTTTCTGTATCATTACAGTTTTAGTATCTGTGCTGGCAAAGTGAGCATTAGTCTCACATTTTCCAGGAAATAGAGACAGATACATAGTCTTTTATATTTAATTACGTTTACCATTTTTAGTGTTCTTCCTTCCTGTGCATTTGAATAACCCTCTAATCTCATTTACTTCCAACATGAAGGATGTCCTTTAATATTTTTTTTTTAAAGATTTATTTATTTGAGAGAGCGAGAATGAGAGAGAGAGTACATGAGAGAGACACAGCGAGAGAGGGAACACAAGCAGGGGGAGCGTCAGAGGGAGAAGCAGGCTCCTCACTGAGCAGGGAGCCCAATGTGGGACTCGATCCCCGGGACTCCAGGATCATGACCTGAGCCGAAGGCAGTCGCTCAACCAACTCAGCCACCCAGGCGCCCTGTCCTTTAATATTTCTTATAGAGCAGTTCTCTTACCAATGAATTCTTTCGGTTTTATTTGTCTGGAAATATCTTTATTTCGTTTTCATTTTTGAAGGATAGTCAGGTTGGATATAGAATTCTTAGTTGGCAGTTTTTCCTTTCAACACTCTGATTATGTCATTGCATTGGCTTCTGGCTGATGAGAAATCAGCTATTAATCATACTGTTTTTCCCCAGTGAGTTACTTTTTTTTCTTGCTTTCCAGTTTTTCCTGTTATCTTTGGCTTTCAGCAGTGTGACTATGATATATCTTTTTGTGGGTTCCTTTTGTATTTTGTTTTATTTTTTGATCGTGGCTGAGCTTCTTGGGTCTGTAATTTAATATTTTTCATCAAACTTGGGAAGTTTTCAGCCATTAATTCTTCAATTATTTTTTCTGACTACCCCCCGCCTGCTCATTCCCATGTTTAACCCAGAGCCAAGGATTTTCAACCCCCTCCCCCCCATCACCACCCTGGATTGCATCTGTTTCCTGTGGCAGCAAAACTACTTGTTTTCATAGCTAGCACCACATTACTTAAAAGTCACTGGCTGAGTGAGGGGATAATGGCAGTGGCCTCAGGCAGAAAGGCCATGGCCTCCAACTGTTTTACCTGAAGGTCTAGTAGCTTTTCAAAAATAAAAGCTTCTGTTGCGAGTTTAGCTGAACTACTCCATAATATTGCTGTCTCCTCCTCCATTTCGTATGGCCAACTGGCCTGCAGGGGCCTTGACCTGGTATGAGCTCCTCCTGCGGGCATACCCGAAAGAACAACTGCAGAGTCATGAGTACATGGAAGTTCCTGATATGACTTCCCCAACAGTCTCCCCCATCTCCCAGGGCCGTCCCCTTGTGCACCCCTTAAATAAGACCCCTGTGAAGCTGACCAAAACCTTGTTCTCTCTGGTTTGAACTGACCAATCCAGGCTTAGCCTGGGAATCCTAAGGGCTCCACTTGTGGACCCTCATAAAGGTATGTGTGCCAGGTCCTGTCACTCTCTACCTGCACTCTGCCTTCACCTCCCCAGGTGGCCCCTTGAGGCATGCCTTGTCCTTGTCCAGGACCTTTGAGAAATAAAATTCTCTATTTCGATAATAGTCTTTCGTTGAACAGAGACTCACCATCAGACAGCCCAGGACCCTACTTAACAAATGTTAATTTAACAAAGTCAGAACAGCTTCTTAATTTGTTGTCTGACTTTGGTCAATTTCCAGTTCCTGGAAATGGCTGGTTTTGACAATTTTGTCTAGTTTTATACATTTTTTGTTTGTTTTTTGCTTTTGCAGAAAGAAATTGCCTATCTGTTCATGCTGCCATAACCGGAAGGCTCTCTCCTCATTCTTCTTAAACCCTATATTGATCAACATAAAAAAAAAGGCCTCCATTTTCGTTTAACATCCCCCCACGGCCTCAGGCAGAAAGGCCATGGCCTCCAACTGTTTTTTGTTTTTTCTTTAAGATTTTATTTTTTATTTATTTGCGAGAGAATGAGAGACAGAGAGCATGAGAGGGAGGAGGGTCAGAGGGAGAAGCAGACTCCCTGCTGAGCAGGGAGCCCAGTGTGGGACTCGATCCCGGGACTCCAGGATCATGACCTGAGCTGAAGGCAGTTGCTTAACCAACTGAGCCACCCAGGCGCCCAGTTTATTTGGTAGTTTTTCATGGTGCACTATTATTAACTGTTAACAGTAACAAAGCTCAGTACACAATGGATACTATAAAATATGTAGTGGCCCACTGAAAATCCTTGTCTCACTATCTGCCAGTGGAAACATCCATTTCACAGGGTCCAGAAAATGGGTTAAGGTTTCTGGGTGTGGTGGGGAGATCCCCTGGACCAGATGACCCCCTTCTTACCAGTGACTGAAAACAGGGTTCTGACTGCGGCTTCAATGATCTCGAGTCGCTGATGGTAATGAGTCAGTCGGCTGCTTTTCCCCTTCTGGTGAAAGTACATCAGTGGGTACTTCACTGACCACCACAGTCCGACTATCAAGAAGAAGCTCCCTGGGAGAGCATGGCCCTTAAAGTTTGCCATCGGTGTTCTTCAGCACCTAAGAAAATAGGAGACAGTTGTCAGGTGGCTGAATGAAGAAAACATAAATGGATATTTTGGCAGGAAACACAACATGTGACTGAGGATTCCAAATCATAAGCCGTATGAAGAAGGACCCACTTTTTCTCAGGGGCGCTCACTCAGCAGACAAGACTTCAAGGACATAACATGAAGGCTTATTTTATGAGAACGACTACTCCAAC